GAGGAAATGGGAAACAGTGTGCAGTTGGTTCTGATGCCACACCTTACGCAGGGGAACTAGAGGAAGTCATTTGTACTCTAAATAATCCTGATGTTGATTGGATGAAAGAAGCTGGTTAAATGAGCTGTGCTTTACAGAAGCTGTATCAAAGGCTCAGGCTGAGTTATTCTATGTTGGTGATGTTTATCTTGCAACATCACATTCAACATTCAAGTCGAGAATCCCAGTCACGAGTCAGAGTCCCATTGGGAGAGGAACGGTACAGCTAAAGAGCAGAAAGTTGTGGAATTTTTTTGGCTGAGGATCTAGAAATAAATTTGTTTGCATAGTGACGATTTTAAGATTTGTCTGAAAACATGTCTCTTAAGATGATGCTGAAAGCATTCTTGAGTGGTACTGGTTCTGAAAATGAAAAGAAAGCAGGAAGTCTGTGTGCTGTGCAAAACATTTCACTGTTATGTTAGGGTAGAGGGAAGTGTGAACATTTCACTTCTTACAAAATGCTAACTTTGTTATGCATTTGTAGTTATTTTCCTGCTGTGTTGCAAGATCAAAATGCAGCTGTTGTCAATAACATGCATTTACATTGTTAAGTGTATTTTGCTGTGATATCATTATAATTAAAGAACGTGGTTAAGTGATGTTTTACAATACCATCTTCTGCAGGAGGGAAATCTTTGCTTTTATGTGCTCTGCTGATGGGTTTGGTACATCCATGGAAATCTTACGAAAGGCCACTGAGAACACCAACTATAGCTTTTTTGTTCCTTTGCTTTTAAAGAAAGGAATTGTCAGGTGGTTGTTGTGGGTTTGTTTTTTTGGATGAGGAGGAGGAGTGAAGACAGCAATTCAATTTGCTTGTGAGCAAATAGATTTTAGGAATAATTAGAAAGCTGTCTGGAAATAAATACTTCTGTTGTGTGTGTAGATAGCACGTTTAGGTAATTTTAAGAAAAAGCAAACTTAAAGCCACTACTATGGAGGACATTTTAGTAAAGTTTTAAGTATATTAATCCCTCTTTTCCTCTCTCTCTTCCTTTAATTCCATATATGAAACAAGCATAGGATTGTAAGTTTGTATTATGACACTTTATTGTCTAGTTAATGATCCTATTCAGTGTGTAAGGAAGGAGGAATTAGAGTGAAATCTTAACCTCATCTTTATATTAACTTCATTGGAGCCATTTCATTCATCAGTAATGCCTGCCTTCTAGAGCTCAAACAACAAAAGAGTAAGAACAAACAAAGGTACAGGGGAGAAGGTATTACATACTAAATATCATTTAGAGAAATGAGGACATTAGTAAGCATGTGGAGTCTCAAAAAATTTTGTTTTTCTAAGTTACGTTTTGAATTGTTGTCTTTTTTTTTTTTCCAGCAAGCAGCTTTTCTTTCTCACATTAATTCTCAGCATTGGCTTTTCTGTTCTTCCTTTTTAGTGTTCATTAATATTAGAGTAGGGCATCATAACGCTTGCTTCTAGCTTTGTTAGTGATTAAAGAATGGAGGTTTTTGGACTCTTATTTTGAAAATTCAAGGACCAAGAGTTATCAGCTGTGTACTGTTTAGTCATGGAAATGAAATCCATTGCTCTGGAGACAGCTTGTTTTTCAAACCCTTTGCCATCAATCCTAGTAAAACTACATTTAGACTCAGTGCCATGAACCTTTAGGTGTTTGGTGTGCTGCTAAAGGGACTTCAAGTCGCAACAATAGAAGAGTTGCCCTAATGATTATTCTAAGTTTTCATTGAACTAGGTAAAAAATGTAATTTGATTCTTGAAACATTAAGCTACTCTACATCTGACTCTTAAAAGTCAGAGGCCAATCCTATTACTTTCTACTGTATTTCTTTATATATTTTTCTAGATTAATGTCTTATACTGGTTTTACTGTTCTTCTAAACATTAGGTTGAGCTTTGCTGTAGAAAACAAAATTGCTGTGTACAAAAGAATATATATTTTTTTAAACCCTAGTTTTTTATTTGATTAGCGTGTTTGTACATAAGGCTCTAGATGGTTATCCTCTCACTCTTGTCTTGCTGTTAGGCGTGTCAGTTGATGAAGGAGTTTGGAAAGTTGCACTTCCAAGGATTCTGCCCCAAATTATGGTGAAATTCAATATAACCCATTGTTTTTTCTGTTCTGGATTTACTTCACTGCAATAACAGTAATTCCTAAATAACTTGTTTATTTGGTGAGTGTTTTTTTCCCAATTATGGTGTTTTCAATTCCAAAAGGCTCAAAGTATTTTAAGGCCTACATACAGTAAGTACAGAATCGTTGTTACAAGCCAAAATTCAGAGAGGTAAATTGGAGCATGCAATGGAATTATCTATATGGAAAGAGAAGGAAATTTTGGCTAAGAATCTAAGTCAAACTCTAGAAATTACAAAAAGTGATGTATGATACAGAACAGAGCCGTCAGGATCCAATTTAATAACAGTTATTCTGTCTGCCTTCACCTCTCCTTGAGTGTATGTACAGATAATTGATCAAACGCATTCAATTTTCTCTGGAAGCGTAAGGAGTTGAGATTTGAACCAATTGCTCTTTGGACTGTAGGGTATTACAGTCCTTTAGCTGAGCACCCAGATTCAACATTGTTTTTAGATTGCTTAAACTATCAACAGCATTTATGAAAATGATCAGACTGGTCAGAAATTAATATAAAAATATGAAACTCTGTCCTCCGCTTCTCATTTAAATTTCAAAGTGCATAGAAAGAGATGACTGCACTTACTACTTGCCTCTAATTGAAAACCACGTTTTCAGAAAAACAAATTTGAGATTCTCCTTTTTATCCTTTTACCTCATGAAAGCTGTTTGTGATTCTGTATTTGTTCAGCTTAGGCTGTGACTATTAGAATAAAGAAACTAATTTTCCATATTGTATTGTTATAGAATACCGTTCGAGAAAAAAGTGCTTTGTAATTTTTCCATTCTGACTTTCATGCGTAGTTTTGTAAAGTGTCTTTGTAAGTTATAAAATCCTAGGATATGCAAGAGAAGACAGTCTGTCTTGGTTAATGAATACTAGCAAGAATTCTGTAAATAATTCTATTCTTAAATACAAATCATCCTAACAGAACAGAATATATGTACATCTGATGCAACTTCTGTGAAGTTTTTATATCTGTGGAGTGTCTCCTTTAAAAACGTATCTGTGAACTCTTCTAATTGATATTCAATTTAAAAGAATTTTAGGTTAACATTCTGAAAATTTCTTAGTATTACTTAGCTGTAATTCAGGAGAAAGTTAGGATAAGGATTGAAGTTGTCCATAGTAATTAGTAGTTGTCATTGAGTTATCATAGTACAGAGACATTCTGTTTTATTCTTACGGGATAAGCAAATAGTAATTTTTTTTTTTTCCCATGTTTGTTGTTTTGATTGTATTTAATCATACTCTAAATTGTGGTGTTTCATTGCCAGCAGTCCCCCAGCAAGATCTCTTTGTGGTGTTTTTGTTCCCACATCAAAAGTATTCATAACTGTATGTGCAGAATTCTAGCCTGACTACTTACATCTGTGTGGGGTTTAAAGCTCTGTAAATAGAGATAACCTGAAAGATTTAAACTTACTGTGCTCAGTGTATACACTTACATTCCTTATGAATGCTTAGGGTGAAAATAAACCAAGTAAGTTTTCCACACTGTTCTTGAACAGAACTTGGTTATCTGAAATTACTGTTCAGAAATGCTAATACCTACGCTTTGGTGTTAATTCTCAATGAATGAGAGATGGGTACTCAACAGGAAGTACCCATCAAAATCTGGAAGAGAAATGGGCAGTTAAAGTATGACAGGAGCGCAGGAGTTGCTATAAAACAGTATCAGCTTACTTTGCATGTATAATTAAGTCCTGTAGTACCCTGAAGGTTTAGGGTGGACTGCAGACCATTGGGAGTAGTGAAGAGCAGAGCCCTGTATAGTCACACTCCTAGGGTTCTCCTTGGCCTTCTTTCTTATCTAACCATAGGTTTGTAGAGTAAACAGTTTAGTGTTTGTATGAAATTGCATTAATATGTGTCTATGCACTACAGATAATATGAAATCCCTCTAATATTCTGTTTTTGATGCATATTGGAAGCTATTTATTATGCCAATAGGTGTTCAGAATATTAAAATTCATATTTAACCTGTACAGCTACAGAACAGTATTAGAGAAGAAAATGTTGCTCGAATGGGTACATAGTACTTCAGTGAACAAATCAAAATGGGGTGTCTACATTGTTCTACCGTGAATGAGACAAATCAGAATACAGATTTTTTTTTTTTCCTTATTTTCTATGAATTATAAGTAACGTGTGGCATTATAGGTGATGGTACTGTTGGTACAATTGTCTGGTGCTATCCAAGTTCTAATTTTCATTTGCCAAACTTCAACTACTTTGGTTGAAATTTTGCATTCTATATGTCTGCCTTTGGATGACTTTCCTTTGAAAATTTCAACCAAAATGGTTCAAATATTCCCAAGACTGAAGCTTTTGGAAAGACACTTCTCAATGTTAGTTTTCTAGAGACCTTTGAAAGTCTGTAACTATTTAACATTTGAGCAGAACAACTGTGACATATTATATTATACTATATTATTAGCCCCCTTCTATGTTGTGCTGGTTTTGGCTGGGACAGAGTTAATTTTTTTTATAGTAGCTGGTACGGGGCTGTGTTTTGGATTTGTGCTGGAAACAGTGTTGATAACACAGGGATGTTTTTGTTACTGCTGAGCAGTGCTTACACACAGTCAAGGCCTTTTCCGCTTCTCACCCCACCAGCGAGCAGGCTGGGGGTGCACAAGAAGTTGGGAGGGGACGCAGCCAGGACAGCTGACCCCAGCTGACCAAAGAGATATGACGTCATATGGTGTGGAATAATATAAGGACTGTATAGATAATCTTAATTCTTGGAGTTCCCATGTTTTGAATGTTTATTTTATGATCTTGCTGCCATGTGGGTGTACAGCAGCTTACACTATGTGATTTATCTCATTTTGCTTTAGATTATTGGTTGCCAGGTCAGAAGAGAGCCACTGGAGTCTACTGAACGGTATACTCGTTGGATCAATAATCTGACTGAAGAACAACTTCTTACACAGGTAGTCTTGTTTCAGCTATGCTTGAAATTACAGCAGAAAAATAGAGCACAAGGTTTATTTAGATGGATTTTTTCAGTTGTTAGCAATACTTGATAACTTACTGAGTTTATCAGATTCTTATATTTAAAGGCTAGTCTTTTCAATAAGAGACAAGTTTATGGTGCATGTGATCATTATGTAATGATGACTTCACACTGAGTGAGAATGAAGCTTTCAACTTCAGGTTCGGAGTGAGCCTTACATTTCTCACCACTGTCTGTGGTTAAATGCATATGCTTTCATGTCCTAATAATTAGTTTAGGGTTTTCTTTTTAAAAGGTGTATTTAAATACAAAAGGAAAAAAATCTTTCTTGAGAATGATTTCCAACCCTCTAAGGTTAGGTACTGACCGCTTCTGTATCTGCTTAAGTTTTGCTGGAGATCATTTTGAAATAGCAGTTCTTCAAGCATTAAACATCGGGCTCATTATACATGTTTGTAAGTAAGATGCGTCTTGTGCAACTGAAGATGACAGTTTTGGCATAAAGAAAGGTTGTTTCGTTAGGCAGGCAGCCAATGCTGAACTAAAAGAGACTTTGGCAAAAACAAGTTAAACTGTGGAAGAAATCAATCCAGCTTGTGGAGGAATGTGTGTACTGAGTATTATAAGAAATCTAATAGATGGTTAGCAGAAAACGTCCCAGCAGGCATTAAGATGCAAGTATTTGGGGCTGGGTTTTGTGATGCTATGGTAGGAAGACATTTGCTTTTGATTTTCCTGGATTTAAGTGGCTGAAAAGATTAACATACCCTTGTTTGTTAGACTTCATTGTAAACTGTGTTGTGTTCCCCGTTACTCTAACCCCCAAAGACATACTTACAGGCTCTGGTATGGTCATTGTAACACAAGAAGTAATCTGTAGACCTTGTTTTAAAATCAGCAGTGGTATTATGGTTCCCTATAATTCACCAAGTGAAAGTAGTTACAGAAAAAGTTACCCATGGAATATTTGGATTTGCCTTTGAGTATAGCATTAGAAAAAAATTATGGATTCAAACCAGTGAATTTACCTGACAGCAACATCTGGATCACTGTGTTGTTGAAGAGAAGAGAAAGAAAAACTTGAGGATGTAAAAAATTCTCCTACACAATCTGAAGTGTTTCATCTAAGTGGCCACTGGATGGGGTCTTTAATGAATTAAGCTGGAAATTAAAAAACATATCCTAATTCTGAGATTATTTAAGAGGGGAGCATGCAAAAAGAAAACTCATTTTAAGATGGGGATGTATGTTGTCTGGAAGAGATTATTTAATACAGTGTTTCTGATAGTAGGATGCAAATGCAGTGACCTGGGAAGTCCCTTGCAATCTTATGTGCCTACAAATATCTCTTAAAGCCTTAATCAAGCAGCATGTGCAATCCATTATTTTTACATATGATTTAGATTCACACATTTTACAAATAGATGAGGAATTTTGGAAAATGTTTTGGGTTTGGAACTAGAAGGCTGCATAGCAGAGCTTGTGTTACTTGTCCATGAGTTTATTAACAAGATGAGTTTTATAGAATCACATTATTTATACGTTCCTAATGATTATTTTTTTTAAACTTGTTACCTGTTGTCTGCCAAATTAAACGCAGAAATAGAAGTTCCTCAAAAATGCTAGGTTTCTGAAAATTCTGTGGAAGTATGAGGCTAGGATAGACTGTACCAGCTGCAATTCATATGTTGTTGAGCACCACAGAATCCACTTGGACAGAGATGTTAGGTGCCCAATCATAAGACAAGCTTCAGCTGTGACACAAGTCTGTCGGAAGCTTGGCTTTTCTAACTCTGGTGCTAAAAGCACTGCTTGATTTCTAGAGCAGTGATGTCAGCATATGGCACCTCTCCTGCCTCAGTATCCATTCTTCTAATCAGAAATTCAGGTAGGGAGGTAATTATTTTGCTTTTCCTTGACTTAAAAAAGTATGGGGAGGGGGAGGAATTGGGAGTAAAAACCGTCTCAGCTGTTCTCTAATAATCAGGATATGAATCAATTATGTAAGGTTAGGCCTGATTTGTCCCACTCCCCTGCCCCCGATACACCACACATTTTATTTTGGATGTGCTTTTTTTTAAACTCTCTTCAGTAAATAAGCCCCAAGAAAACTATAAAGATAGGCCTTTGCTAGTGGATTTGTAGAATCTCTGGGAGGAGCAGTCCTTCAGGGAATTCAGGAAAATTGGCTTTAATTTACAGCATATTGTCTCCAGCAGTTTCCTGTAGTGAAAGAATGTTCAGCTTTTTTTAGCTGTCTCTGTACTCAGTGCCCAGCTCTTTTTCCAGTTATTTCTGTTGCATTTCTGTATCATGCACATGCAAATTATTTGTGCTGTAAATTGGGAAACCAAGCAACCAATTAAAAAAAAATAGCCGATTGTCAAGATCATGTAATCCCCTATCATAATATTCATGTTATTAATCAAATAATATCCTATAGCATTTTATTGCTTTACTAGACAGTGACTGAAGTCCAGTTTGAAAGAGGTGGGTGGTAGCAGATATTTTGTTAGGTGGTTGGATGGCTTCATATGCCTCGGTGCTGGCTGCTGGTTTTATATCACTTGAGTCAATACCAGATTTTTGGATCAAATGTCCATCCCCTGTCCTCACGCTGAGAAGATCATTCAATACAAAATGCTTCTAGCATTTTAACTTTTCTTTTCCCTTAGCCATGGCCTCTTGATGCTTACTTATCCATTAAATGTTTCTCTAAACAATTATACTGTAACATTCCAAAGATACTTTATGGTATGCGTGAAATTTCAGAATATATACCCCAGAGGGTGTGGGGGAGTAAGAGTAGAAAGAGAGCATAATAATGAGAAAACTACTTTTTAAAAGATTAATATTTGCTTGTTTAAGGTTATCTTCCATATAAATGATGAGTGATTAAAACACGCTTTTATAGGTACATTAGTATAAGCCTTAAAATACATGTATATGTGTTCTGGTAGACTTGCTATCTTTCTGGCCAATAGTAAAAAAAAAAAAAAAAAAAAAAAGAGTTGTTCAGTAAGTGCAGAGCACAGTGACAGGTACAGGAAGGTAACGAGCAAACAAATTTAAGAGAACTGACTGTTTTGATGTTGGAGTAAGTGAAAAAATGTAGATTAATCTTACAGGCTATCCGAGTCTGAATTGTGCTTGAAATGTGATTGAAGTTTGATCATGTAGCCCTTCTTGTACACTGGAAATTTTACTGTGCTGTATAAGTAAAAATGTCTGAATGGTTTTAAGGTTGGATTAATTACACAAATATTTATACAATTATTTCTTAAGGATTGTTGTTGACTGTAAGTAATACAGCTGAGTTCATATCCATGTTGGTTAAATCACTACTTTAGGTTAGTTTAGTCTCGCAGCCTGTGAAGTATTATATTCAGCCTGAAGCATAATTCCATCTGACCTACCATTTTTTCCTTCCCAAAGACAAGAGACTTCTCTGCTTTCCTATGGTTGTTCACTTAGAAAGCAGATGGCAAGCTTACAGCCGTGTGTGAGGAGACTCTTGCAAAAAGGAGTGGGCTCTATGGTTGACAAGACTGGACTGTCCTAATGTAGAAAAATAATGGTCTGAACAAAACATGATTCTGTATGTTTGTTGTCCACCGTAATGTGTCTGTATTGCTTCCTGATACATACTGTGCTTTGCAGATTATCTCAGAGCTCTTTGTGTTGGGTAAATTTGGAAGTTTTCACAGGTGATTTGTAGTTCTTACCAACAACCTGTCTGGACCACCTGACAGAAGAACAATAATTAACATGTTAGAGTTCCATAACATACACTTTTCTGTGCTGTTACATGTGCCTGTTATTTAACTGATAGGCTTAGAAGCTATGCTTCTCTACTTATTAATTCTTCCTATATTAGAGTTTAATTAATATTTGATGAAAGTTCATGCTACAAATCAGCATTTACTACAGACACTCAGTGTGGAAACAGATCCAGCATTTTGGCCGAGTTGAGCATGTAGTGTGTTCTGAAGGCAAGAAGGACCTAATAACATGGCTGGACCTTTTCCATAAATTCAATACTCTCAATATTGCATTGTCGTCATATATCTCAATAGGCAACTTCTTACTGGTAAAAAGCTGGTAGGAGTAGATTGCAGGTAGGATGGATTTTCCGGGTGGGCCACAGATTGAGTATCTCTGGCTTAGAGCATCTGTTTTGTCTGCTTGCAGACCAGAAAATTCCGGCTTTATAAGTGCTAGGGTTGGTTGTCAGTGTGTCAGAACTGAAATAATAATTGAGGTGGCAATCTGAAAGTGGATATATGCAATGCCTGTTGTCTAGTTATATTAGTAAAGGCAAAAACTGGACAGAGGGTAAGACTTTCTTTCTTAAGAATGAATAAAACATGAAAAGGCTGATTGATATCCCCCCCACTCCCCTTGTATCTTTGCCACTATTAATGGCTCACTTGTATTTGTTGTCTTTCAATAAAAAGATACTCAACACTTTCCTGGGCTTTTTATGTCACGGTTTCCTCTTCCTTCACCCATGTGATCTAAAAATGTGTCATTAATAGTGAAGTCCTGATGTTTTTCTGCTGAGCGAAAGAACTGAAGTCACAAACTGGTTAATTACAGTAGATTCTACTAGTTTGTATGGGATTAAGCGTATACCATATAAGAAAAAAACCAATTGGCTGCTTTCTTTTGTGGTTGATCCTTTTTCTCCTCTGGAGTAAAAAAAAACAGTTTCACAAGCTAGTCAGTGTTTATATTTACGTTTGAAAATGCATGTCAAAGGGGTTCGTGGAATTCTAGAAAGTTTAATGAGAAGTGGCTTACCCACATCTGTGAACTCCAAGCAGAATTAGAACTTCCTAGTGAGGCTTTATGTAAAGGCATCTCAGGGTAAAATATTTTTGAATTTAGAAACAGGTTTGTTGTAGTTTAGAAACTTACACAGATTTTGCTTTGTGTGTTAGCAATTTTGCATGAGTTTAAAGGTATGCCATACAG